AGCCCTGGCAGCTGGCGGCTGCTGTGCTTCTAACCTCCAAATCTGCGTTTCAGCAGTGAGACCGAAAAATTACCTTGGGAGCTCAAAAAGCATAACTGCTGTAGATGGAAAATTATGGATCCCATAGAAATTTTTTGTGACACTTCCTGCTTAGTTACAATGGCCCATCTTTCACCCTTTAATGGCACCATTTTCCTGTTGCACAGTTATTGTCAAAAGCAAGTGGGATTCACAGCACAACTTCTGTATTTAGCTTTAATTTTGCGACGCCTGTTGCAGACTGTGAGAAGAGTTTATTGCTCCTGTTGTGCTACAACTATTTGTTTGGAATAACAAAAGTATTACCGTTCTCCAGAAAAGCAAAAGTCAAATAGGTAGAGCACCGTAGCTCTACCTGAAAATAGATGAGTTGAATCAGACCAGAGTTCTTGCTCCACAAATGCTGATTGCTGTGGGGAGTGCTCTATGCTATTTCTCCTCACTCCTCTCATTTTTTTCGTAGAATTGTGAAATCATTTAGGTTAGAAAAGAGCATAACACATAGAACATAACACTGCCAAGTCCACTAAATCATGTCCACAAGAGCCACATCTATACCTCTTGTAAATACCTCCAAGAGTGGTGACTCAATCACTTCCCTGGGCAGCCTGTTCCAGTGCTTGACAATCCCTTCTGTGAGGAAATGTTTCCTAATATACTATAACCTCCACGTCACAACTTGAGGGCATTTCCTTTCATTTGTTGTTCTCTGATTTATCCCGCATTTATTTCCAGTTCCCGATCTATTTGGGAAGGAAGAGAAATATATTGGAAGGATGTCTCTTTTGGAAGGGAGTAGAGGTTTATTTCAGGATAAGCATCTGGATGAAGATTCAGCATTTATAATAGTCATAAATGCTTTCCAGCTCTGAGGAGTTGTGTCCAGAAACACCCTGTACTAGAGACGCTATCGTTATGTTTAACAACACTCAATGGGTTAGTCTTCAGTAAATTTGCCCAGTCATAGTTTGAACCTATGAGGAGTGTGACTGTTCACCTCTCAGAAGCCATGAGTATGCACACAAAATTAACACTTCAAGGAAAAAGGACACACAACCTTCATTTATATTATATACAAATAATTAAAGCTTAGCCAACCTTTTTTGTTTCTTTCTACTTGCAAGACTAACTAACTTCAGTGAAACTTCAGGTGCCCTTTTTTCATGCACTGGATCTCATTCCTCTTTCTGTTTTTAATTATTAACAATGGGATATTGGAGGAATGCTCAGGAAGTCTGATCTGTAGCTACTGAGAGAGGCATTAATGCTTATATGAACAGACATCACATAGAGCCTATGAACACACAGGGACTTCTAACCCTCCCACAGTAATTACAGCTGTAATTGAGAGATGTAATATGATTCTCTTTCCATAGATTTTACTTGCATAACAAAGAACACAACACTAATTATCATTTCAGATTAAACGCTATTCCAAACAACCCAAATATTTCTATTGGCAAAACTACTTTCAATCACTTCCACAAATAAGTGGCTGCCCTTTACCATGTACCTAGGTGGATGGTTCATGGCAGAGAGCAAAGTATCAGCTCCTGGCATCACAGGCTTAATTTTAATGTTCTTCTCAAAGATGAAGAGCGAAGGATGATATGCAAAAGAGTACTGTTTCAGTATGAAATGAGTTTGGCAAGCAAAAGGTGAGATACTGAAGTGATGATCTAAAGAAAAAAACCTCTGCAGGAGCAGTTTTTCTGAATATAAGATGAGCTGGATCTTGAAAGTCCAGGGAAGAGAATATGTTAGTAGTCTGGATAAGACACTCAGGATGTTAAGCACCATCTTCTCATGTAACATCCTTAGAAGGTTCACCAGATACAGCAAAGTTGCCCAAGTAAAAAGGTTTTTTGGTGATTTTTTTCTTTTTTCTTCTTTTTTTTTTTTTTTTGCCACTCCTTCTGTTGGTCTTTGCTAAGAGCTTTCTTAATCTTTTGGGGATTAATCTCTCGGGGAGAAGAATGTTGTTACTACTACGCCTGAATAGTACATTGTAAATCATAGACATAATTTTACATACATGAAATTCTAATCATGACTACAGGTTTTGTTTGGGGTTTTTTTTTTTACTCTTATCTGAAGATGACAAATAAAATTATTAGTAGGAGTCATTTTAAAATGGCACAGAAGTTGACAGTGTCTTTCTTTTGTATTTGAAGGCAAGTGAAGATAAAACATCCTGAAAGTGCACACATGCTTCACCTTGAACCAAACCAAGATTGTTGTAAGAGTCTGTCACTCCTCTGTCTGATGCTCAAGGTTGGCACATGATGTTACTGAAGCAGCTTCAGCAAGAATTATTGGCACTCAGTGACAATATCAGCATATGATTTTTTCCTCCTGTAGTATTCCTTTCAACATTATTTTCTTTTTAATGATCGGTTGGTTATAATCACTTCAGTTTCACTTCACTGCCTGCCACACACATTTCCTTCTTGCCATCCTTGCTTTTCTTTTTTTTCTCTTCCTCATCAGTTCTCCCTTTCGTCACTTCAGAGTATGCTGTTAGCAAATGCCACCCACAGATTTAACAGCAGTTTTATGGCCCATTGTAAAACTAGTCCACATTTCATTCCTTTCTCATTATTCGTGCTCTGATCGTGTGTAAAAGGGGAGACAACCTTACAGTGTCTCTCTGACGCCAGGTCCTGGTTGGAACCTCTCGGATCATTTTAATACACAATGAGGATAATTTAAGATGTTGACCAGATCTCAGCTAAATAAAGTAACAGTATATTTCCTTTACTAATCTCATTATTTTCTGTCCCATAACTTCCCTTCACATGAGGTCATAAGAAATAATACTGTATTCTCTACCAGTATTTAATTTTTGGTGAGATCTCTACCACATCTGAATTTACTTGACCTGGTTTTTTGCAGAAGTCAAGTACTTTATCATGAGAAGGCCATCAATGGAATTGATTATTATTTTGTGATATTATTTTGTGATATTAGTGTTAAAAATCAATTATTTACAAACATAAAGCATAAAAATAGGCAGCAGAGGAAGTAAATTTCTCTTCTAGACTTGCATTTATTTTGCAGCACAACCTATGAAGACTGGGACAAAAATTATTTGTGCCATCTATTGAGTGATTTATTTCTTTTTAACAAACAGTTGTTTGTTCAGCAGTTCTCCAAAGGGTGCTAATAAACTAGATTTTTGTTCTACAGTAATTTTAATACTAGACCACAGTTACTTCAAATTTAGAGTACCCTAAATAATATTACTGCAAAATGATGAAACACAGTAGAAGACGTTGTCAGAAATGTCTGGATCAAGGCCATTGTGCTAAAAATATATAGCATACATCAGAATCTGCTTACATTGTGCTGCTGTACATATTAGTATTGCTTTTGCATGCTGGAGGAAATATATCAAATGTGGTAAATCATCATTTATTTCCATGGTGTTTATTATTAGTATCTTTGTGCAGTCTAGAGGTCAGTCAAGAGTAGGGTCCCATTTTGCTAAGGCTTGTACAAACATAGGACATGCTGTGCAGTGTGCAGTGAAAAACAGTCCAAATATAGCTCGGTTAACTGCAAATGGAATACGCCTGGAGACAGTGGCAGTGTAGCTGCATCCTTGTTGCTTGCACCCTCAAACTAATTTTATAGGGCATATTAGTTTAAGCACCGTGCTCCACCAGCTGCTTGTGGGATTCACGTTAGTTTTTTCAAACTGCTGCAGAGCCCTTCCAGTGAGTCACTGCTTTTTTTTCCCATGCTTTGTCACCTAAGGACCTATTTGTAGGCAATTTGTAAGCTCTTTGCCTAAATCTAAACAGAATAACTGGTACCCCAGGAGGAGAAAGGGATTTGTGTACAAACAAGTTTTAAGAAATGCCTACAAAGTTTGTTACCTCAGTTAAAAGCAATTCACGTCCCTAATGTAATTTCTGTTAGTCATCCAAATCTGGACTGTCTCAACGGGTTTATGTTGCGAGACTGTTCATATGAAATCAGGAGTTGTAGTCCAGGCTCTGTAGTTTACTTGACAATAATAGCACTTCTGTCATGTGCTACATGAATTGCTATTGGCTAATTTTGTAGTTTTGGACATTTCTGGAAATGGTGCCCAAGGTAATTCCTTTGGTAAAGTACATTGCCGCTCTTCCAAGGACAGTTAAACAGAAGTAACTTCAATTTGGAATAAGCCAGGTGACAAAAAAGCGTGCCCTAATTACTCTGTGTAATATATGGTTTACGTAAGTACCTACAATATGGTACCACCACTGGTATTAAAACTGCTTTTGTTCTTTCCTTACTGTTAACTAAAGCTGCTTAACCCTCACTGTGGTGATGGGGGCCCAGACGGCAGGCAAAGATCAACAGGTATGGTGATATGTTCATTCCTCTGCCTACTTCCTTAATAACAGCCCCAGAAGTGGCTTAAGAACCATGTTAGCATTATTTTCCTACAAGATTTCCAGTGCATTAGATACACATCATTGGAGAGCTAAAGCTGCACTTAGCAGCCCTTCTCTTACCTTTGGATTTATCTTCTCAGAATGAAGGAACAACATCGGCTTGTTGATACCTGGAAGAAACTTCCATCACTGAAATTCCTGTTTGATTTTTACACATTACTATATAAAACATAATAAACTCGTAAGAAAAGCCTGAGTCTGTAAAAACAATGTATTTATATGTGAAGATATTTGTATAAAACTTTCAAATATTTTTTTACTAATTATCCAATCACAGAAAGACCACAACTGTTCAGCTGATTCATGGATAGAATTAAAAACTATTATTATTATTTTTAATTTTAGAACAAACCCAAAGACCAAAGGGAAGAGAAAGGCAAAAACCCCTTAATATGCCAGAAGAAAGAAAAAACCAAGACGAAAGACTTCATGATTGCAAAGAAAACAAAAAAATTTCTTCAATACTCATAGAACATTTCATGAGCAGTTTTCTGAACCTAAGAGGATAATTAGTTAGTGTGGAAGGAGCTATTAAAAAGCCAATGGTTTTTTTTTTGGCGAATTTTTTCATTTTTAAAATTAAATTTATTTTTTCTTACACACAATTTTTGAAGCAATTATCTTTTCAAGCTCCATACTGACACTGGTAATATTCTTGATTTTTAATTAGGTTAAATTAGAACCTCCTTTATCTGGCCTGCACATGCACATTATGTCCCCACTGGTCATTAAGGAAGAAACAGCACAAAGTCTGAAGTAGTGAACTAATTCTAAAGTACAGCAGTTGAGAGTTTACTGAAGTTACTAAAGGTTGAAGAAGCAGAATGAACTCTGCTTTTATAGCAGTAATTATGTTCTGCATGTTGACAGGTCTGGAGGAAAAGGCAACCAATGTAATGTGTTAATATTTTGCCCAAATAGATTTTTTAATCTTGTTGAATGCAGCTAATCTTTAGTCACAGTTCCAGATCATCTGTTTGTACTGTGCACCCATAACCTCCCAGGGGAAGACTTTGAGTCAGAGAGAAGGATTCCAGTCACATGAGTCCTCACCAAAGAAAGCTGTGGACCTGTTAGAGTGAGTCCAGAGAAGGAGGGTGAGGATGATCAAAGGGCTGGAGCAACTCTCCTATGAAGACAGTCTGTGAGAGTTAAGGTAGTTTAGTCTGGAGAAGAGAAGGCTCCAGGATGACCTTAGAGCAGCCTTCTAGTACCCAAAGGGGGCTTATTAAAAAAAAAGGAGAGGGCTTCTTGACACAGGTAGGTATTGATAGGAAAAGGGAGAGTGGATTTAAACTGAAAGGGTACAGGTTTAGCTTAGATATTAGGAAAAAAATCTGTACTGTGACTGTGGTGAGACACTTGAACAGGTTTCCCAGAGAAGCTGTGGATACCCAATCCTTGGAAGTGTTTAAGGCCAGGTTGGGTGGGGCTCCGTGCAACTTGGTCTAGTGAAAGGCTCTGCCCATGGCTGGAGGGTTGGAACTAGATGATCTTTCAGGTTCCTTCCAACCCAGCCCATTCTATGATGCTGTGATGATCCAGGAACTTAAGCCAGTCTTGCAGAATCACAGAATATGCTGAGTTGGAAGGTACTCACAAGGATCATCAAGTCCAGCTCTTAAGTGAATGGCCTATACAGGGATGGAACCTGCAAGCTTGGTGTTATTAGCACTGTGCTCTAACCAGCTCCTTCCCTAATTGATGCTGAAACGGATGCTTACAATTCTCCAAGACCAAAATGAATGCTTTATTTTTCTGACATGATAGAAGTTTGAATATTGCTGTTTTTAAAATTCTTAAGAGATTTTGTTTGGCTTAGCAATACCTAATGCCATTTCATAGATGTGCTTTACGTTTTGGAGAAAATCATGGGGTCTAAACTCATAGAGGTGGTCATGAGCACTCTGTAGGAAAACTTGTAGGAGGTGGGGCCAGCAGAAGCCTGCAGAGAATCGAGCTTCTAGCAACAACAGCTGCCCAGAACTGCCTGAGAGCCAGCTACAGGGCTCAGACCAGCTCCAGCCTTACAGACCTCTGCAGGATTTCCCTCTCCTGGGCCCCCAAAGACCACACCTTCCCTTCTTCCCCTAGCTATCCCTTCCCCCTGAATGAATAGACATGTCCTCCTAACCTATCTCTTTAAACCCTCTTATATGAAACCCCCAGGATTCGATGCCCCCTGGCAGGAACCTACCCCTGTCCCAGAACCTTCTATACCCTCCCTATAAAAGCACCCGTGTAATAAAGGAATCAGCCATTTTGCTGGACATATAACTTGTGTGTATGTGTCTCACTCCCTATGCAAGATGAGCCCTGGGCCGGATGCATGGGCACAGCCCCCCCCACGCATCAAAAACTAATAGCTTCAAATCCAACTTCCAGAGCAGCTGGATTTTCAGAGTGGTATTACATTACTTTAGACTTATTCATCCTTTCCATTGTTCCAACCAGTGAAAACTATCCTTCAAAGTCATAATTTGGCTCTTAATGTACAGCTGACCTGGATTTGGCAAGAGGAACTCCAGTCTTAAATCCAAAAGCAATGATATCTCATAGGTAAAGGTTCATGAGAGCTATGAGTCAGATAATCTAACTATGGTAAAACCTTAACATAAGTCACAGAAGAGTCAGGGTTAGAAGAGAGGGCTTCTAAGAACTTTCCTCAAGCTGTTAAATACAGACATAGCAACTGACAGATACTGGTTTGAGCAAAAGCCAGGCATACCTCACTTTTCTGCCTAAACTTCTGAACATGACAGTTACTCTGTCAAAGGTCCAAATTTACTGTAGACACATACAGTGTGTGTGTATATATATATTAAAAAAAGACACTCAATAAGACTTTGCATATGACTTGACTCATAAAACTTGGCAGTATGGTCATATGCTCACCTATGCAAGTTAAGACATAAATCGTGATAATATGTCAAGAGTACTAGGGATTTGCAAAGCTCTGGAAGTCCCCAAGATGAACACAAACTTTTTAGTTCTGAAGTATGTGTAAAATACACATGTAAATTAGAACTCAAAGCAAATTTAATTTTTTTGTTTGTTTCCATTTACAAAGGTATTTCATAGACCATTCTAGTCTACTCCAACAAAACTGCCTTTATTTGAAGTCTAATATATAAACTTTCCCTTATTTGTAGAAGCAAACCTGTATTAAACTGTGCAAAAGACAGAGTAAGTGCATTTCAAGACTTTGTGCATACTCCTGAATATGTACATTAGTAAACTCAAGTAATATAAATTAAAATAAAATTTCCTGAGTTTAATAATTCAGTATTTTAATTGGACCTTGTGGTAGGGT